GGAACCGCTCCGGAGCGCCCGCCCGCCCGCGGGGCCGCCCGGCAACACCGGCCCGGCGCGGCCGTTCCGGGGCGCGCAGCAGCCGCAGCTGAACGGGGCTGGGAAAGCGCTCCGGAGCGCGGAGGCCGCTCCAGCTCCACCGGGACTGGGCTGGGACAGCGCCGCAACACCGCCCGGCCCGGCCTCCAGCGCCAGAGCCAGCAATAAATACCACTGCACACAGACAGCTGCCAGCCTGACCACCTCAGCCTTTCATCTGCATTTCCACCGCACAGTTACTGAAGTTGGAAAGATGTCCAGGATTATCCAGTCCGGCTGTGCCCGATGCCAGTCTTGTCCCCAGCCCAGAGCTCTGAGCCACCTCCAGGCCTGCCCTCCAGGGATGGGGACTCCAAACCTCCCYGAGCAGCCCCTTCCAAGGCCTGACCACCCTTTCCATGGAGAAATTCCTCCTGATCTCCAACTTAAATCCAACCTCAACCTCAGCTGGTGCAGGTTAAGCAAATGTCCTCTCATCCTGTCCCTCATTCCCTGGGAGCAGAGCCTGACACCCACCCCCTCCTGTCAGGGAATTGTAGAGAGATTGGGCTGGATTAGTTGGACTGGCTTGGTTTGGGCTGGGCTCAGCTGGGCTGGAATTTGTTCAGTTGGATTGGGCTGGGCTGGGTTCAGCTGGGTTGGATTCCATTTGGGTTTTTTCAGCCAGAACCAGCAGCTCTCCTCACCTTGGTCATGCTCCCACCCCATCTCCAGTGCACACAGGACCTTCACCCCTGCTTTTGGGGACACCAACACCAGCCTTGTCACACTCCTGTCACCTCAACCCCCTGCTGGGCACCTCCCCAGCCCTTGGCAGCCCCTCCGGAGGTGCCCCACGCCAGGATGGCCACACGAGCCCCCGGCAGTAAGGGGACACCAGCCCGGGCCCCGTCTGTCACCCCCATTGTCCTGCAGAGGATCCGGTCGCAGTCCTGTTAATTGTTAATGTGGGGCCCTGCAACCGGAGCCACGGCTCTTTGTGGGCTGTGCATTATCCACGGAGCAGCAGCCGGAGCCCGGAGAGCCCAGGGGACAGCAGGGGACAGCAGGGCACACGAGACAGGCCCTGGTCAGCCCTGGCTGGCCAGGATCAGCTCTTTAGGGCCACGGGGCCGTGTCGGGCACGGTGTGACAAGCAGGGTCCTGGTAAGATTAAGTGGAACCTGGCTCTGTTATCKCAGTGATCTCCTCCATTTTTCAGGGATATTTTTTCCAGGTGCCACCCATGTTGCTGCTGGGGGGCAGGAATGGCACGGAGAGGATCCCTTGAGGAAGAGGGCTCCAAATCTCAGTTCTGCAGCTTCTGGGAGCCCCCTCAGCTTCGGTGGGACCATCTTCCTTCAGTGGAAGGCTGAGGCACAGCTCCCTGTGATTGTCCTGACACCATTCCATGGCACGCTGTGCACATCCAAGGGAACAGGGATGGGGATGGGCACACAGAACTCCCACCCCAGGGATGCTGGGCCTCCGTGCCCAGCCTGAGTCCTCAATCTGCCCCRCAGCTGAAGGGTTTTGGTGCCTCCAACCTTCCTTACTTGAGGCTGATGAGGCCCTGGCTGTGGCTGCCCCTGGATCCCTGGGAGTGTCCAAGGCAAGGCTGGACGGGGCTTGGAGCACCCTGGGAGGGTGTAAAATGTCCCTGCCCGCAGCAGGGGGTGGCACTGGATGATCTCGAAGGTCCCTTCCCACCCAAACTGTTCTGGGATCCCACTAAACCTCTTTGTCCATTCAATGCCCTGACGAGCAGCACCCCTGAAGCTGGGCCTTCASTCTGCTTGGTTCAGATGCACCTCCCGATTTAAACCCAAACCTCCAAACCCCAAGGAGTGCAAATTTAGTCCTCTCCCTGCCCCACCCTTCCCGTGCCTGTGAGTCACCCCAGCCCGATGGATTCATCCAGCCAAAAGCAGGCACAGGGGACACAGCAGAGCACCCGTATCKCACGGATCCGCAGTCACACTGTCCCTGTGCTTTGGGCCGGGATCCGGGGAAACGSAAACTCGGGAGAATCAGCTCGTGGCCGCCAGGAGCTGCAGCTCCCGATTCCCATTAACCCTGGGGCTCGGAGCGATGGATTGCACAGAATGCCCTGCGTGTTCCCTGCCAGCCTTTCCCCCTCCGATCCCAGTCTGGGGCCGGACCAGAGCCAGGAGTGGATCCCCGGCAAACACGGGGCAAACACGGGGTTGAACGCGGCGATCTCCCGGTGCTCGGGGGCTGCAGGGACGGGCCGGTGGCACCGAGCACGGAGCGATGAAGGGAGCGGAGCGATGAAGGGAGCGGAGCGATGAAGGAAGCGGAGCGGAGCCCGCGCTGCCCCCGCCCCACCGGGGCGGTCCCGGGGCCGCCCCCGCGCAGCCGCCGCTGCTCCGCGGGCCCGGCCGGGCGGAGCCGGGAGCGGCACCGGGACAGGCACCGGGCAGGCACCGGGAGCGGCACCGGGAACGGCACCGGGACAGGCAGCAGCACCGGCAGCGGGGCCGGCAGCCCCGGCCGGGCTCATGCAGGGCTCGGCGCGGCGCCGGCCGTTCCCGGCGGCGGCTCCGGGCTCCCCGCTGCCCGCCGGGCCGCTCTACCCGGGCAGGTGAGCGGGACCGGGGCTCGGAGGGGCTGGGGACGGGAAAATCCACCCTGCATTCCCTGGGGATCCTCATCCCATCCAATCCCCCTGACTCACCCTGCCCCGAGCCCCCCAGGACAGCCCGGCCCCATCCCGGGTACCAACCACCCGGGCCGGGATGCTGCGGGTTCCAGGGCATCCCAGAGCGTCCAGGTTCCCCAAGGTTCCCCACTTGGCTTTGYACAGGGCATCCCGGCTTACCTGGGTTATCCCAACCGATCCAGGGTCTGACAAGCTCTTCTGGGAGCCGCAGCATTCCCAGCTCATCCAGGGTACCCTGTCCTCATCCTGCAGCCATTGGGGTTCAYTGAATCGTCTCAGAATGGTTTGGGGAGGAAGGCACTTTAAAGGTCCTCTCATTTCAAGCCCCTGCTGTGGGCAGGGACACCTTCCATGGACTTTGGACCACGGGCTCAGGCAGCCCAAGCYCGAGGCTGATCCAGCTGATCCCGTTCTGGTCTCGGCACCGGGAGAGTGATTGATCTGCTTTTCCCTCCGGGAGGTGCAGGTGCCACCCGAGGTGCTGGAGGGATATTTGATGGAAAGACCCCAGCGGGGTTGGATCCGGCCTCTGCAGAGGCAGAGGATCTCTGGAGCAGGAGCTGAAGGTGATGATGCATCCAGAGCATCCCAGTGCTGGAATTCCACYGGGCATCGCTGCGTTTTTAGCACTCAGCCGAACTCCTGGGAGTTAGGATTTTGCTTCATCAGGCAAAAGTTAAAAATAGTTGCACTTAATTCAGCACTTTTCACCTTGCTTTTGTGCTGCTCCTCTGCCAGGAAGAGCCTTCCTACGGGGACAGGTCAGGGATGGTGACAGTTTCATGCCCTTCTGTCCTGCCCGCTCCTCAGCTGGGTTATCCCACAGATCCCGGAGCCAGGGAAGCGCGGGTTTTGTGGGGGAATGCAGCTCTGCCTCCTCCCAACACTGCTCTCTGGGTCCGTGTCCCTGTGTCTCCTCCAGGCACGGGGCGGTGAAGGGCGAGGACACCTTCAAGACGTCCCCGTTCCACCTGGAYCTGTGGTTCTACTTCACCCTGCAGAACTGGGTGCTGGACTTCGGGCGCCCCATTGCCATGGTGAGTGAGGGGACAGGGCYGGGGTCCCCMGGGGCTGTGCCCTGTCCCCGAGGGRGGTCCCAGAGGAGCTGGCACCGCTGCCATGCACTGGTGGCACTGGGGTCAAGTGCGTTGCTCCCATCTCCCTGTTCCCYGTTCTCTCCCCCACCTCTCTGTTTTCCCACCAAAAAGGGTTTGGGGGGCTCCTCCTGCTCTTCCCCATTCCTTCCCTACATCTCCAGGGGTTGGGGCTGCTGCTTCCAGCTGGAGCAGGGCAGAAGGGGCAATTCCATTCTGATGGAATTTTTTATAGCTGGAGCCTGGCAGAAGGTTCAGGAAGATCGGGAATTGTTGCAGGATTCCAAACGCCTTCCTTGGCCCCACAGCTTCCCAGCAGCGGGCAGGGACAGCAGTGAACTGGGCTGGAAGGGCGCTGTGCACCGGCACCGCTTCCAGAGGGGGATTTTTGGGAAGTTTGCTCCAAGCAGAGCTGCCCAGCCTGGCTCCCAACAGTCCCCTGAGGTCCAGCTGACCATTCCYAAGTGATCCAAACATTTCCCTTTTCCCTGTCTCTGTTCCGTGATCACTGATGTCCCAGTGCTCTTCCTTCTCTCCCAGATAATCCTCCCTCTGGAATGGTTTCCTCTCAACAAGCCCAGCGCTGGCGATTATTTCCACATGGCTTACAACGTTATCACACCCTTTCTTCTGCTCAAGGTAAACCTGGSAATGTTTGGGTTTTTCCACATTACTGGGTGTAAAAGGCAATTAGTAAAGGTTCAGAGGTTCTTGGATGTTGCTTATTCCCAAACTCCTGCCTGTGAGGAAGAATTTCAGGACAATATTAATAAACACTCCAGGAAGGATTTGTGAGGCTACCTTTTAAAGAGCCCCTCCATTTCCTGTGTATTTGAAGCAAATCGTTCCCCCCAGGAGCAGTCAGAGCCCTTCTCCCAAAGGATATTTTTAGGACAACATCCATCCTCGGCTTAAAAGACAGCTGGAAGTGAARTAGATTTTTTCAGTTGTCCAGAGCTTAATTGCACTGGCATTGTGTCCAGAGCTGGAATTTATCTGGCTCCAGCTGCCAGCCTCTGGATCCCATAAACCATTTATGGGGTTAAAGACTATCAGATCATTAGGATGGGGTTAAAGACTATCAGATCATTAGGAATCTTTGTCTGTTAAATACTTGGGAGAAAGCAATTATAAATATATTTTACCCTTTGTCAGCTAGGAACTGAATTATGGCCTGAGATGGAAATGATTCCCTCTCGAGATTCTGGGAGATTTTAAAGGCCGGTGGGAAAACAGAGAATATTCAGGATGTGGAAGCTGACCCTTCCCGGGTGATTCCTGCTGGCTGGGGGCTCAGTTTGCCATCTGGGATTTTCCTGGCAGCTCTGCACCAAGGGTTCATCCACAGGAAAATCCCAATTGTTATTCAGGGAGCGTTTCCCTGGCCCAGTGTCCCCTCCGAGGACGTGTCCCACCCTCCTCTCCCCCTGGAGCCACCCAGGACCTTGTGGTCTCCTTGTCCTCTGTGACTCCCAGAGTCATTCGTGCCACGGTTCCGGGGAAAGGGAAAGTTAAGCCTCGAAATTAAACACAAATAAGGAGCTTTTGCCYGGTTGGGGAGGGCTGCAAAGCGGATTTAGGGAGAGGGGGGGCCCTGGCTGATCCCAATGCTGGGACAATTCCAGCCTTGGGGCATCTTCTGGAGCTGGAACCCCTGGAGCTGGGATTTGGCTTGGGAGGTCTCCACTGCTCTGCAAGCTGAGTTTGGAGCTCCTTTCTGAGATTCCTGCCCCAATTCCAGCCCCTGGGTCAGCCTCACCCGGCAGGGAGCTCTGGGTAGGACAGGGAGAGCCTGGCATGGGAAGCGGTGCCCAGGAAGGTGCCCCAGCTGGTTTTGCTCCTCCTGATCTGGGGTCAAACGCAGCTCATCCCTGAGGAACAAACACGGGAAGCTGAGCCCCATTCCATTGGAAAGGAAGTGAAAGGAACCCCAGAATGTTCACTTGGAAAATGCTCCACTGGAGAATTCTGAACTGGCCAGGAGGGGAGGGAAGYGTGTGAGGGGCTGAGCGTGCTGGAGGCTCTGCTGCCACTGGAGGGCACATCCAGCTTTCTACATCCTCTCCGGAGCTGGGAAATCCACGGCCTTTCCCTGGGCTGGGATAACCACTGGAAAGCTCTGGTTTCCCAGAGCTGGGAAATCCATGGTCTTTTCAGGGCTGGGAACACCATGGCCTTCCCCAGGGCTGGGAAAACAACTGGAAAGCTGGAAAGCTCTGGTTTCCCAGAGATGGGAAATCCATGGCCTTTCCCGGGGCTGGGAAATCCACGGCCTTTCCCAGAGCTGGGATAACCACTGGAAAGCTAGAAAATTCTGGTTTTCCAGAGCTGGGAAATCCACGGCCTTTCCAGGGCTGGGAACACTCTGGCCTTTCCCAAAACTGGGATCACCACGGCCTTTCCCAGAGCTGGGAAAACCACTGGAAAATTCTGGTTTCCCAGAGCTGGGAAATCCACGGTCTTTCCCAGAGCTGGGAACACCACAGCCATTCCTCCCTGACCAACGGGCTCTGCTCATTTCTGGTGAGGAATTCCTGGTGCAGAACCCCCCAAATCTGGCAGAGGGCCGTGGCTGCCGTGTCCCCGCTGCCTCCCTGCCATGCCCACCTCCTCCCTGTGCCCGCAGCTCATCGAGAGGTCCCCCAAGACCCTGCCCCGCTCCATGGTCTACGTCAGCATCATCACCTTTGTCATGGGTGCCAGCATCCACCTGGTGGGTGACTCGGTTAACCATCGGCTCATCTTCAGCGGGTACCAGCACCACCTGTCCGTCAGGGAGAACCCCATCATCAGGAACCTCAAACCCGAGACCCTGGTAAGGGGAGCAACTCGGGGAATTATTTATAAAATACGGGAATTAGTTATTTATGTTATAAATAATTTATKGGTAAAATAGAGGAATTCTTTATACAATATAGGAATTTGTATTATTTGYAAAATGCAGGAATTACTGTTATTTATATTTAGAACATATAGGAATTATTGATAAAATATAGCAAATATAAATAGTTTATTTATTAAATATAGGAATTATTTATAAAATATGGGAATTTCTACTATTTAGAAAATATAGGAATTCTTATTTATATTTGGAAAATATAGGAATTATTGATAAAATATAGGMATTTCTATTATTGAGAAAATACAGGAATTATTATTATTTATAAAATATAGGAATTATGGTGCTTTAATGCTTTAATAAAATAAAGGAATTATTTATATTATAAATAATTTCTTTATCAAATATAGGAATTATTTATGGAATGTTATTTAGAAAATATAGGAATTCTTATTTATATTTAGAAAATGTAGTAATTATTTGTAAAAGGTAAGAATTTATATTATTTCTATTTAGAAAATATAGTAATTATTTGTAAAATATAGGAATTGTTATTATTTATAAAATATAGGAATTGTTATTATTTATATTAATACAATACAGGAATGATTATTCTTTATATTTATAAACTATAGGAATTACAGTGCTTTGATGCCCCGGTGTTTAATCCCTGTGTCATTGCAGATTGATTCCTTTGAGCTCCTCTAYTACTACGACGAATATTTGGGTCATTCCATGTGGTGAGTGATTCCCAGGCGCTCCTGAGCCCCTGGGATGGCGCGGGGGGAAGGGCAGAGCCTGAGCTGGCTGGAGATAATGTTCTCCTTGCCAGGGGGATTATGGCCCCTGGAAAATCCCCTCTGGCTCAGGGGTATTTCTGGGATGGGGGAATGYTGGGAGCTGGAGGAACAGCTGGGATTTCCAGGGGGTATCGAGGTTGGAGGAGGTTTCTCCCGGTGTCAGCACTCCTGGCTGTGCCCCAAACACCCCAATCCAGGAGCCCAAAATGCCTGAGCGTGCCTTGATACGCTGCTGGATGATCCTGGGAGTGCAGGGAAATCTCTCTCCATCGGGCTCTCCTAGCTGATTTCCATTTGGAGTGCTTAAAGCGTGCAAATCGCATTTTTTTAAGGAAAAAGGGCTCTGTGGTGTCACTGAAATGCTGCTCCCCATCCTGCTTCCCTGCAGCTCAGCCCAGGCACCACAGGGGGCTCCAGAGCCTGGGAATGCAGGAACTGGAATTGTTCAAGGAGCGCTGGAGCCMAGCTTTTGCCTTGATCAGCAAATTCGGGCTTTTCCTGCCTGGGATTGGGGAATTCTCCTGCTCTGAGGAGCAGCTGGGACAAGCCCAGCCCCTCCCTGGTCTTCCCCCGATGGATCCTCAGGCTCAGCACAGGGGCTGCTCCAGGGTTGGGTGGGGTCTTGGGGGGTCCAACCCCTCCTGGGCTCCCCCCAGCGTTGGGAATTGTCCATCCCTGCAGGTACATCCCGTTTTTCCTGATCCTGTTCATCTACTTCACCGGCTGCTTCACCCCCGCCGCACAGCGGAGCCGGGTGCCGGCGGCTGCCCTGCTGCTGATGGGGCCCAGCAGCCTCTACTACTGGTGAGTGRCTGCTGTGCCCTCGGGAGGAGGGGGGAATGCCCTGGGATAATCCAGAAGTACCTTGGGAATAGTCTGGGATGACCCAGGATACCCCAGCATAACTTAGGAATACCTTGGGAATACCCCAGGATARTCATGAATATGCCAGGGATACCACAGGAATACCCCGGGGATAACCCAGGAATACCCAGGGAATACCCCAGGAGTATCCCAGGAACAGCCTGGGAATATCCCAGGAATGGAGGAGGACGAGGATGAGGACAAGGATGAGGAACGAGGCAGTGCAGGGACTCCAAATTCCCACTGTGACCCAGCCTGGGAAAGGGGAGCAGTGCCAGGGACCAGGAATGCTCTGAGAATGGCTAGAGGGAGCTGAAACAAATCAGAGCTGAAATAAAGTAAATCAGATCCAAAATCAATCAGAGCTGAAAATCTGAAAAAGCTGAAATTTCCAAAAGCTGAAATCAATCAGAGCTGAGATCAGAGGTGCTTTCCCTGTGCAGGTACCTGGTGACYGAGGGCCAGATCTTCATCCTCTACATCTTCACCTTCTTCGCCATGATGGCTCTGGTGATGCACCAGCGGCGGAAAGGGCTGGTGCTGGACAGCAACGGGCTCTTCCTCTTTGCATCCTTCAGCATCGCCCTGCTGCTCATCGCTGCCTGGGTGGGCTGGCTGTGGAAYGACAAAATCCTCAGGAAGAAATACCCAGGTGTGATCTACATCCCCGAGCCCTGGGCCTTCTACACCCTGCACGTCAGCACCCTCCACRCCGCCAAGGAGAGTTTCTAAGTTTTGATACTTCAGAGGGATTTGAAGGGAAAAAAAAAAAATCTAGTTTTTCTAATGTAGATTAATGTATTTCGAATAAATTCCTGCCCGACGGTAGCTGTGGGAAGCGCTGTGTGGTGGCTGCACCTGGCCTGGGAGAGTCGTTCCCAAAAAAAGGGTATTTTAACACTTTGAAAAGAGCTTGGGGCCGGCCTCCCTGGATTTACCCTCACAATTCCATGACCCAGCTCCCTGCGGGACTTCCTCAGGTCCTTTGGACAGCACCAAATCCCTCCGGGCCCCTGGTGAGACCCGATATTCCCATCGTCATCATCCCACGGAGCATCCCGGCTGGGAATGGGAGGGGTTTCCCGGGAAGCTCCCGCCCTCCCCCGCCCTGGCGTGCAGCCGGAGCTGCTCCTCCCACGCTCCCCGGAGGAGTAAACACGGGAAGGGGCTGATCCTACCTGGGATCCGCTTCCCTGGAGCTCTGCCGGGGCTCAACCCTCGCTGTCGAGCGCAGGAGAGGCCAATTCCCCCCAAACGGCCCCAAAATTTMTCAGGCAGGGGGTGAACTCCCGGGATCTGTGCACCACCACCTTCTGCTCTAGCTCAGAATGAGAATTCCTCAGGATTCCCAACAAACGCAGTCCAAAGGCAGCATCAGGGAGGTGGCGCTGATGCCCGAGCAGCTCCCGCTCGCCCTTCCCCAGCCCCGGGGCAGAGCTCCCGCAGCTCCGGCTGCATCCCGGGGTCCTTCCATCCGATCCCTTCGTGTCAGAGCTCCCTGCGAACCAGCCCCGGCGGCGGAGGGGAAGAAGCTCCCAGGGAAACAGGGAATGAAAACATTCGGGAGAAGCTCCGGGCTCCCAGTGCTTCCTGCAGCGGCTTTATCCCAGCAGGTTTTGGGAGCTGGGATACGGCACCGGGACCGAGCAGGGGCTGTCCCTGAAAGGCTTCGATCCCTATGTCTGGGAATGTTCGGTCCCTATGTCTGGATGTTCCCCGGCCCGGCTCTGCATCCACCTGTGGGTATTACTCAGACCACAGCGATCTTTTACCCTACCGCAAAACCCCTTCTCAGCTCTGCCCTAATTCCAGCGGTCCTTCCAGACCCTATTTCCCCGCACAACCCCCTTCAAAGCCCTAAATCCCCTCGCCCTTCCCCGGAGGCCTCGGCAAATTCCATCGGGGCYGGATTTTCCCCCTCTCCCAGCAGCAAGCGAGGTGCAGCTTTTCGGGACTATCCAAGCTGGGCTCAACCGGCGCGGCCCCAAACATTCCCAAACCTCATCCCGAGGCTCGGCAAGGCTGGGAAGATCCTTTTTCCCGGTGGGAGCCGGAGCTGMGCTGGGAGCGGGATCCGGGCAGGCTCAGCTCCCGTAGCCATAGCAGCGGGTATTTATTACAGCCGCGCCACCTCCGCCCGGCGCTGCCGGACTTTAGCCCTTAATCAACGGCAAAAGTGGCAGCAGCCGCCTCCCCTCCAGCCGGGAAACCCAAACCCAGCGGATTTCCCCCAAAATCATGGTGAGTGAAGCGCTGCAGACTGATCCGATCCCTCACTCCGCCCCCCGAGCCAGATTTTAAAGCTGTTTGGTTTTTTTTTTTCTCTCCTTTTCTTTCCCCGCTTCCTGCTCCAGGCAAAGTTTCTGTCCCAGGATCAGATCAATGGTAGGTCCGGGTTTGTTCGGGCTCGGGGTTTAATTCGCAAGATCAAATTGATGTAAATATAGAAAARAACGGCATTTCGCCCCAAAGTGTCTCACTGTGGGCCGTTCTTCCTCACTCCCCCTYCTCCCAGCTCTCCCGGGATCTGCTCGCTCGGAAAACAGGGAAATCTCCCCAATTCCATTAACATTTCACACCTCACAAGCTCCCGTTTGCACTGGGATCCGCAAAGAGCGGGCAGCCCCCTCCCAATCCCCCAGCGAGCGGGAGATATTCCAGGTGCCCAGTTCCAATCGCGGAGGGTTTCGGAGAGATGGGAGAGGAGGAGGAGGAAGCAGACGGTGCAGAATTCCCACTGCGACCCAGCCTGGAAAAGGGGAGCAGTGCCCGGGGCCGGGAATGCTCCGGGAATGGCCGAAGGGAGCTGAAATAAATAAGAGTATTATTGCAAATCTGATAATCGGCAGTGCCCAGGGCTCAGCGGGATTGGCGAGCGGAGGAGGCGGCGGCCGGGGCAGGGGAGGCCACGGCGCCCGCGGGCACCCCCGGAACACCCCTGGGACACCCCCGGAACATCCCTGGGACACCCCCGGGACACCCCTGGGATACCCCCGGGCCCCTGCACACGCCCCTGCATCGAGGGCTGGGGACAGAGGAGACAGGAACAGGGGGATGGCACCGAACCAGGCCCGCGCAACTCGCCCGGCAGCGCCGGGAGCGGGCTGGGAAAAGGGATGAGAGCTCCCAGCCTTCTCCAGGTCAGCTGCAAGCCGGGATGGAAAAATGGGAATACCATAGGCGAGGGGGATGGGGAGAGGGGGAGATGCAGCAGAGCTCGGGATCCTCCACACCCAGCATSCCCCACCTTCATCATCCCCCACCCTCATCATCCTCCACCTCCAACATCTTCTACCTCCAACATTTCCCATCTCCCTCTTTCACCATCCCCTTTCCCTCAGCACCCTCTCCCACCCCCCGAAGGCCGGGAAAGCATTTTTGGAACAATATCCTCCGTTCTGCAGCCCGGCTCCCTCTCCAGTCCTGCTCATTAGGCTGCAGGGCCCCAATTAGCGCAGCTCTTCCCAAAGCTGGATTTTAATTGCCCCTGGCGCTCCCCTGCTGCCCATCACCCTCCTGGCAAGGCTGCCACCAGATCCCGGCGGGAATGCTGCCAAGGCTGACACCAGATCCCGGCGGGAATGCTGCCAAGGCTGACACCAGATCCTGTCGGGAACGCTGCCGAGGCCGCGGGGCGGCGGAGTGGGAGTGCTCCGGGGGAGCTCACATGGCATAACTGAGTTCCGGTTCTTAATTAGAGTTCAAGGAATGCTTCTCCCTGTATGACAAGAAACAAAAAGGCAAGATCAGAGCCTCGGACCTGCTGGCTGTGATGAGGTGCCTGGGAGCCAGCCCCACACCAGGAGAGGTGCAGAGACACCTGCAGCTGCACAAGATCGGTGAGCCATGGGCAYAGATGGCAAAAACATGGATTAAAGGTGGAAAAATTGAGATTTTTCCAGAGTCAGGATGCTCCACAGCCTGCTGGAGCACAGGAGGGAGCACCTATCCAGAGCTGTCACTGAAAGCCATTGTGATGGGCTAAATCCGGCCCACAGATTAAAACAGTGTCATTAAAACCCCGAAAGTTTCTAGAGAAGTGGGAGACAAACACATTTATATGGATTTTGAGGGTGGGAAACTRTCCAGGCCAACCAGAAGAGGTAGGAGAGCACAGAGAGGTGTTCAGCTACAGATCTGTAGGAAAAATTCAAAGCAAAAAGACGGAAGAATCCTGAGAACAGGTGTGGGGGGGAGGGCATTAAAAATTCGGGATAAAAGTTCAGAGCGCAAATTGAACAAAGTTCTAAATGGGGTTTGAGGAGAAAAGCCTTTAGCGGTGCTGTGCCCTCATCCAAGTCRGGGGCAGTGAAATGAAACTCCAAAGGCAGGGAAGAGAAACCCCAGGAAAGGGGAACTGGGGGGAGGAGCAGGGGGGGATGTTCAATCCTAGATCCATCCCCCGAAATGGAGCCATTCCTMAAGGATCTGCCCTTCCTTTCCCAGACAGGAACGCTGAGCTGGACTTCTCCACCTTCCTGAACATCATGTACCGGCAGATGAAGCAGGAGGAGCCCGAGAAGGAGATCCTGCGAGCCCTGGCCATGATTGACCGGCAGAAAAGGGGCGTCATCGCCGTCCCCGAGCTCCGGGCCAAGCTCACCCGGCTGGGCGAGAAGCTCTCTGAGGAGGAAGGTATCCCACAATTCCCACAGGGATAAACCCTCACCACCTTCCTTCCTTCCTGGTTTTCCTATGCAGTCAAATCTGGGATGAGGAAGGGCCTTGTGCCAGCAGAAGGCAGCAAAGGAAAAACAAACCCTAAACCTGTCCAGGTCATCAGAAATTTGACTCTGAGAGGCTCAATAAACCCAAAAGCCCATTGGACTTAAAGTGTGAATCTTTTCCCTGTGGAATGCCAAAAGATGAATATTCTGCCCCAAAGAGTTTGACATGAAATTAAAATCCAAGGGCTAATTGATGCCAATTGGAAACCCTCACCTGACCACCTCCACCTGACCCCAGAGGTTATCACTGACAAAAACACCCCAAACCCCAAATCCTGCAGGGCTGCTTTTCTTTGGGAAATCCCAACACCCCCAGCACATTCCACCCTAACTGCATTTCCCTTTTTGCAGTCGATGATCTCCTGAAAGAAGCCAAGGTTGGTCCAAACGGAACCATCAAATACGAGGAATTCGTGCGTCTCATCTGCCTCCCCACGGTCGACTACTGAAACCCAGAGTGGGATTTGTGAAGAGCGGAACCTGGAAGGTTTTCCTTCTCCTTTTCCCAGTTTTTAGCTGGACTCAAGAGCCATCTTTTGCCTTTCCAAAGCCTGGTTTTGCCTTCATTTAGCGCTGATGGGGAAGCTTCCTTGGGCTTCCCCCCGATTCCTGGGGAAACAAAAAGTGAGTTTGTTTGAAATAAACCAAATGTAGCAACACCTGTCAGGTTCAAGGAAATTATCTGGAAAAGCGTTGAAGTCTCAGGATTGGGGCACAAGGAACTTGTGGGCGAGGTCTCCTGGGTATCCAACAAGGCAGCATGACCGATCAGGTGTTTGGGGTCACCGCATTCTGGGCTGGCTGCCAGGGAAAACAGGGCCAGGGAAATGCCCCTTCTCCATACCATGAAAATTCACCAGGAAAAATCTCCCCCAGGAAAATTCACCAGGAAAAACCACCCCAGGAAAATTCACCAGGAAAAACCACCCCAGGAAAATTCACCAGGAAAAACCTCCCCAGTTGACCTCAGGCTGATTAAAACCCCTCTGATCCTTGTTTTTATCCCACCTTGATCTCAGCAGCCTTAGAGCAGGACCAGGGTTCTGGAATTTCAAGCAGGKTTTCTGTGGATTTAGCTGGGAAATTTCACAGGTATCATCTCAGCACACTCCCTCAGCACACGGATAACCCCCTGGGCAGAACTGCTGAGCCTCCTGTTCCATTCATGCCCAGCACTGGGGGCACGGAATTCCAGCAGGGACCGGAGCCTCCTCCCACCGGGACAGCAGGAATGGGGGGTGTCCGTGCCCAAAGCGCCAAATCCCAGGATCCCAACACTGCCCCATCCCCAAATCCCAGGATCCCAACACTACCCCATCCAGCCCAGCTCCCATTCCCAAATCCCAGGATCCCAACCGTGCCTCATCCAGCCCAGCTCCCATTCCCAAATCCCAGGATCCCAACASTGCCTCATCCAGCCCAGCTCCCATTCCCAAATCCTGGGATACCAACACTGCCAGATCCCACTTCCCACAGGATCAACACAGCTTTAACCTCGCTGTCGGAAGTAGCTCTTGGGGTCATCCTTAAAAAATCCACGGAAAGGTGGGAAAAGCAGCCAGGGGCAATCCCAAATTCCCAACAGGCATTCCAGGGGCTGGCATACRTGTGGTCCTGGGAAAGCTGGGCATTCACCCTCCTTCCAGACACAGCAAAAATGCTCTGGAATTCCCATTTCTCCATGGGTATAGCCATTTATCCATGGGAATAGTCCTTTATCCACGGCTAAACCAGACACAAGAGATTCCCGCTGGAGAGGCCGAATCACTTCCAAATCAGACCGTTTCCAAAATAAGTCTTTCCCATTTTCTATTCCTTTTATTTCTTTTTTTTTTTTAACTGACATTTAATAAATTATAAAATTGGTGTATGGTGAAATATATATATATATATATATATATCAGCCAGATATGTATGAAATCCACATGCATGGGAAAAAAAACTATGGAACTCACCTGGAACTCGCACACACGGATCTATAAATACATATATACACACACATATACATATAAACACAAACAGTTGGTTTTTGCCAAAATTCAAGTCAAACTATTCAGTGGCAGAGGGGGGATGCTGTAAAAACACGTAAAAACGAATTTCTGATGCCACATCATGTGAACCTTTCAAAGAACCATACGACTGATCATACAGCAATACCTAATGCTACTTGGATTAAAGTTTTTTTTTTTTTGCTTTTTTTTCCTGGTTTTTTAAAATTTTTTCCTGTTTTTTTTCTCTTTTTTTTTATAAATCAATGCAAGATTTATTTCTTTTTTTTGAGACGACTTCATAGGCAAAAGGTGGCCCTTGTCGATGCTCGAAGCGGCTATTTGCAATCAACAGGTTTCTTTTTTTTGGACGTGAAAAATTCAGATGAGAATCTGCTAATTTTAGTATTCCTTAACTCTCTTTCCTGATAAACTCGTAACCTGCACTTTCAACCAGTTACAAAAATATTTTTCACACCAGAGGGGATAATTTCTCTCTCTGACGTGGACTTTGGACACAAGAGAATCGCTTCCTTCCCTCCCCCTTCTCTGACTTTTAAAGAATCTCCTGAAAAAACTGCATTCCAGCTATTTACACATTCCACTCCTCAAGGAGAACGGATCAGCCCAAATGACCCAGCAGTTGAAAAAAAAAATAAAATTCCTATGTCATGCACAACTGAAAGAAAAAAAATTAAGAAAAACCAGGAATATGGCTCCAACATACTGAAAAAAAATCCAGGAAATCCAAATAATTCCAAGGCCAAAAAGTGAATTTTGAAAGCCACTACGCTACGAGAGTTGGCTGGAGAGCTACACTGTGGGTGTGGGGGGATTCCTGGGTGGGTTTGGGGTTTTCTGGGTGGGTTTGGGGTCTGACCCCCACTGACCACAGAACATCCACGGGGTTTTCCTGGGTGGATCTGGGGTTTTCCTGGGTGGGTTTGGGGTCTGACCCCGCTGCCCACAGAACACCCACGGGTGGGGATGGCTGAGCTCAGCACACGGACCATGCGGGGCACTGGGATCTGCGCTGGCTGCCAGGTGGGCACGGCCCCGTTCCCTGGGAAGCAGCAGCAGGATGGATCCAGGGGGCCCAGGGAGGATTTTTCCAGGCAGAAAAGGCAGGCCTGGGCTGCCAAGGCCGTTCTGGGCACGGCCAAGCCCAAGGAGCTCCAGGAGGGAACACGGACACGGCTTGAGATTGAACTGATGGAACATCTGAAGGTGTCTGGACAGGATTTCATCACTCAGTTCTCAGAAACAAAACCCTCCATACCAGATGATGCTTTTTTGGGGGCTCCACTCCTCAAGAATGCTCCCCCTCATCCCTCGAGCCATTCCTCAGCCGTCTGATGGAGCCTGGCCCTTGAGAAGGACAAAATCGTGGAATTGTGGAATATTCCGAGTCAGGAAGAACCCACGAGGGTCAGAGTTAAGCTCCAGGCCCTGCACAAGGCATTTCAAAATCCCACCCTGTGCATCCCTGGGAGCGCTGTCCAAATGTYCCCAGAGCTCTGGCAGCCTCGGGAATGTGAGCATTCCCCAGCATGCTCTGCAGGGAGTGGATTTTCCCCATTTCCAGCCTGCCCCTGCCACTCAGCTCCCTGCCATTCCCTGGAATCTGTCACATGGACATACCTGACCAAAGCACGGAATTCAAAAAGAGAAGCTGTCCAGAGAGAAGGGCACAGGGAACCAGAAAAGACAAAAAAAGAATCCCAAAAAAACCAAACCCACTCCTGAAAGGCTCTGCCTGCAAACAGAGGAGAGTTTGCTCTGCTTCCAGCAGAATAAAACCAGCATGAAATAYGGGATGGGGGAATGAGATTCCACCACCGTGTGAAGGAGAAAAAACCCTCTCCCCCAAGCTTGAACTTTAGAAGTTCAGCTCCTTTCCTGTGTATGGAACTGCAAAGAAAATAATGCCATTCGTGTCCAAACCATAGGGGAAAAAAAACCAGAAAAACTCACATGACAAATGCACAGGTGGAAAATCTTCAGCATCCATAAAAATGAACTGAAGCTCCTTGTTTTTGTTAATTTTTTTTTCTCTTTTGTGTGTTTTTTTTTTTTTCTCATTTTCACCAGTGAGGCCATCTTAGGTTTATATACAAAAGTAAAACTGAAAATAGACTTTTTTGTTCTCTGTACACGTAAATTTTTTTTTCCCCCTTTTTAAAAAAA